AAAATGCTAAATATATACGCACATAAAGCATTTCAAAATACATAAATTTTTAAAATGACAGACTGAAAGGGGAAGAAATCCACAATTGTAGTCGATGTCAATACTCCTTTATCATAGTCGACAGAACAAGTAGATAGAAAATTAGTGAGGATATAGAAAACCTGAACAAAACTATTACCAGCTTGACCAAATTGACATTTATAGAACAGCAGAAGATACATTATTTTAAAATGCATAAGGAAAATTGAGCAAGATAGATCATCTTCTGGGTCATAATAGAAGCCTTCAGAAATTTAAAAGAAACTGTATGATCATATAATAATGTGATTAAACTAGAAATTACAGAAATAGATCTGAAAAAAATTTAAACAACACACTGCTACATGACCCGTAGGTCAGTAGGAAATCTCAAGGGATATTAAAAATATTTTAATGAATGAAAATAAAATAATTTATAAATAAAAATATTTAACTGAATGAAAATAAAAATATAACATCAAAAATTTGTGGATTGCGGCTAACATGGTACTTACAGAAAAACTTACAGAATTAAATGTTTATGTTAGAACAGAGTAAGTGTTTAAAATTAATTTATACTTCTACCCTAGAAAATAGAAAAAAGACCTAATTAAATCCAAATACAGGAGAAGGAAGAAAAATAATAAAGATTAGAGAAAAAATTAGTGAAATTGAAAAGAGAAAAACAATAAAGAAAGTCAACAAAACCAAAAGCTGATTATTTGAAAATAACAATAAAATTGATTTATTTTTAAGCAGACTGATCAAGAAACATATAAGACATACAAATACTACCAGCATCAGCATGAAATAGCATACATAATATCCAACACTATGCATGTTAAAAAGATAGTAAGCTTATGATATCAGCAGGTCTATGCCTGTTAATTTCAGGAACTTAAATGAAATGGACCAAGTTCTTGAAAGACACAATCTGCCAAAATCAATTAAAAAGAAATAGATAACTTGAATAGCCCAATATTGGTCAAGCAAAGTGAATCATAGTTAAACATTTGTAAAAAGGAATATTCTAGGCTCCCATGGTTTTACTAGCAAATTCTACCAAACCCTTAAGGATAAAATAATGCTAAATCTATACTACCTCTTCCAAAAACTAGGAGATTAGAGAATACATTTCAAATCACTTCATTAGGGCAACATTTTCCTTATCCTAAAAGTAGACAAAGACCTTACCACAAACAAAACTACTTGCCAGTATGATTCATAAACATAGACCACCAAATCTTTAATAGAATATTAGTAAATGGAATCCAATATATAAATACATAAAAATATAATACTTAACAACCAAATGAGGTATGTCTCAAGATGCAAGTCTGGTACAACATTAAAAACTCAACCAATGTATTTCACTGTATTCACAGACTAAATATTGTTAAGATTGGCAATTCTCTCTACTTTTATCTATAGATTCAATGCAATCCCTGTCAAAATCTGTGCAAGCTTTTTTGCTGATGTCAACATACTGATTCTAGAATTTATATAGAAAATCAAAGGAACTACAAAAGTCAAAATAATTTTTAAAAAAAACAGAGTTGGAGTTCTCAGAATACTTGATTTCCATATTTACTATAAATTACAGCAATCAAGACTGTGGTTGTAGCAGAAGAATAAGCCTGGAGTTAGGCAAAGGTTTTTCTGGTAGATACCACAAAACAACTATTAAAGTAAAAACTTGATAAATTGGATTAAGATCAAAACCTTTTACTCTTCAAAAGATACTGTTAATAGAACAAAAGGCAAGTCACAAATTGGGAGAGAATATTTGCAAATTACATTTGTGACAATGAACTTCTATCCAGGATATACATACATATATATGTATACACAATTTGTATACATATATATCCATACATAAATGTATATATAACAATTTATGTGTGTATATACATATGTATCCTGGATATATATATGTACACATATATATGTTGATATACATATATATGTTTTTATATATACATATATATGACAATGAACTTGCATCCAGGATAAACATACATATACATGTATATATAAATTTATAAACATATATGTAGAAATATAGGTATATTTGTATGTGTATGTGTACATATGTATATATAATTATATATGTTATATATTCATATATAAAAATGACTCTGAAATTTCAATACAAAAATGGGTAAAAGAAGATAGATGTATTGCAAATAAGCATATGAAAGGATATGCAGTATCATCAGGGCAGAGTTACACTGCCATAAGCCAGGTAATGCCCAAGATTACCTGCAACCACCAGCAACTGGGAGAGAAGCATGGAACAATTTCTCCCTCAGGTCCTCCAGAACTAACCAACCTGATTTCAGGTTCTAGCCTTCATCACTGTGAGAGAATAAATTTCTGTTTTTTTAAGCCACCGAGTTTGTGGTGCTTTGTTATGGAAGATTCAGGAAACTAACACATAACAAATAAATTATTTTGAAAAATGAGGTGTTTTTTGAAGCCATATTATTAACACTGTAACATAGATTACCTTGCCACAATAATATAGCAACCTAATCCCCTGAGGTCTGCTAAAGCTCTTACTAACCTTAGAAAACATTGTAAAAGATAGTCTGAATACTATTTTTTAAATATATATTTATCTTTAAACAAGGTTACACAGGCTATTTGATAATTCTTGACAGTCAGAAGTCAATTCCTATTCAATGAGTTTTCCTAAATGGAAGAAAATGAATCATGGAACCCTTACTGGGCATAAAGTTTAGAAAGAATGTAAAGGCAGATGGCCCTGTCTGACATTAGCTGTCATCTTTGCCTCCAAACAGATGCTAAGGAAGAAGCTGAAAACACATTACAGTGTCTGACACAGTGTTAGTTTAAGCATGTGCCTAAGATGCTAATATGGGTTATGAGAAAATGGGGCCTCCTAGCCAAAGTTTTGCAAATTCTAAGCTAAAAAAAATTAAAAATATTTTTCATGATAGGACATATGAGGCTCATTAGTGTGCTGATGTATATCATGACACATTAAAACAGAAGATAGCAGAGTCTTTTCCGTGCTTATTTTACTCTAGAATCTTCTGTGAAGAGAGTTTCATGAAACTGAGCCTTCATGAACTCACTTCAGGGGATAAGCTACTTAGAATATTTCTATTGATGCTTCATTGGGTCAGTTTGGAAGGGATGCATCTCTCCCTATCTTGTATACATTTTGTTTATTTTCCCCCGTCTTTCCATTTTTAACCTTCTAACCTTTAAAAAGATGTTGCCTTTGACCTGCAAATTACTTCCCATCTCTATTGTATATACTTTAGGATCTAAGATGTCCTATTCAATATAAAATTTTAAAAATCACATTAAGTAGTCTTTCATTCTTGATTCACCAAATTATTGCTACCATAATGCTTTATCTTCTAAATCGTTTCTATTTTCTTTAATGTTTATATGAAGACTGTTTATTGGTGTGGAACCTTAAGAAACAGCTGATATTCAACTTATGAAAGTGGCAATTCCATATGGTTCAACCTAATACACTAATGTTATTAAAGAGTCAACACAGTTTCCAAGATAGTTGATTTATCAAAGAGCCTTAGCCACTGCAGGAATTTGGCTTAATGCTTTTATAAATAGTCTAGGTGGTTGACAGGAGAGATCACTTTTGCTTATAAATGATACCAAGTTGGCCAAGATTGACAATATCTTGTAAGGCCAGGTAGGAATGCAAAATGATGCAATCAATTTGGCGAAGTAATGTGTGCCGAATAGAATGAATTTCAATTAAGATAATTGCAAGGTTTTGTTTATACAATAGAATAATTAATTTTATAAATGCAACAGAAATAGGAACATTTACATGGACTGGGCCACATAAAGAGCAGTTTTAAAGTCAGGCAATCACAGATTCAGACTCTGCCGAACATGCCCAGATGGGCAGCTTCCAAGCCATTCATACTGACCAACCTTCTGGACCTTATCCCTTGGATTTCAGCTACCACGTTGAATCGGATCAATTACTTCATGTGGCCTGTGAATTTTAGACATTTAGACATAGTAGTATTGTCTTGAGTAATGTATGTACACTCTTCCTGTAACTCATTCAAAATCTGTTCAACTTTCAAGGGCCAGTTAACCGTCAAGGAAGTCCAGAAAGTCTCTACTCTTATGTCTATAGGTCATAGACTATATCGCTCAACTTAACTCGAGGTGACAATCACTTCTGGCTGCAATCACCTCAGCTTCTTTGTATATTAGCCTTGACTTTGAAGTTTGTAAGTTCTTTGAGGACAAGGACTAAGTACTGCACATGTTTTGTACTTCTGTCAGACTAATGTGCAATCAATAAAAACTAGTAGGCTTCATCAAGCAGGACTTAATAACGTTACTGATCACAACAACGAAAACAACATGCATTAAAGCAAAATGACTATTGAGAACATTGAAGATTGAGACATTTCTGTGTAGGTGGATGAATATGAAACAAAATATATACATATTTTATGACCCTATTACTGAAGTTGGTATATAATATATCCATAAATTTCATTACATGCTTAATTCGAGTAACTGTAAAGCCAGTGTTCAGTAGCGTTTCATGTAAAAGTCTTCATTCAAGGTTTGTGGTTTAATGTGTTATGTAAAATACAGTTAAGTAGAAGTGTTTTTTCATTGGACTTTTGTCTCTTAAATACTGAGATGCTGGATAGAATGTTTTTTCAGTGCTGAATTTTCTGACTATGTGATTTATTACGCTTTTTAATGTATTATCCTAATGTCTTCATAAATTAATGTTTTCACAATCATTTATCAGTTGATTATTGAAATAAAATTTTCACATTCCATTGCATTTTATATAATAGCATTACCCCTCAGCCACTGTGATATACATGAGTTTCAATTTATTATAGCTCAGTCCCAAATCAATGTCACTGTTAAGAGTATGTGTTATAGTAATGGTTATCTTTGGAAAACAATTTGAGTCTGACTAGATGTTGTTCAATCCTCAGGCCATGGTAAGTGTGACTGTGGCAAGTGCAAGTGTGACCAGGGATGGTATGGGGATGCTTGCCAGTACCCAACTCACTGTGACTTGACAAAGAAGAAAAGTAACCAAATGTGCAAGAATTCACAAGACATCATCTGCTCTAATGCAGGTAAGAAGTATACCCTGTGAAAATGCTTAAGTGAAATAATCAAATTTTGTTTTTAATGGAAATATGTGGGCATGGAGAAATGTCGAATCTCTGAGTGAGTCTGCTTTTGAGTGTATTTTTTAGAAGTGAAATTCAGATAAATCAATAGAAAAAAATGCCATCTTGCTGAGACAGGCAAGTCTGATACTTTCCAGCTGTTCCAAATGCCTCCTTCTAGCAGGATATTCACTGGAAACAACATCCCAACAACATTTTACGTAAATTGTGAGCCATGATATTGAATACTGGATTACATCTCTTAAAAGGAATTTATATAAACCGACTTAATTATTTTCTGTTACAGATCAAGGGTGCTTTGAATTTTTACCTTCACAAAATAGAACCAAATACTTTAAGTCTGATAGAAGTTTCAGATATACTGGTTATAAACTCCTTGAAGGATATAGTCTCAGAAAGATTTTTTGTTTGATCAAAATATTTTTTGTTTTATAGAAGTTATTCGAAAATACTTTTTACAAAATTATAGAGATGCTATTAAAATTGATTAGCAAAATCATATAAAAGAGTTGCAGTTTAGGTTTCAATGGTATTTAGTGAGTGTTACCTAAATTAAATACTATTTTTACATTTGGGCAGGTGAAACCTCAAAATCAGTTTTTCTCAACCATGATTGAACATCAGCATCCCAAGGGGAAAGGAATAAACTGTCAGTTCTCATGTAGTGCAGCAGAGGTTCTGTTTCAAGTGCTTTGGTGTCTGGCCTTGACTTTGGTGGTTTTTTTAAAGCTCTCTGGGTGATTTTAATATAGATCGAGTGTGCAACCCATTACTCTAAATGCTAAAGGTGAGGATTTGACTTCACGAATGAGTACCTTTCCTCCCGAAGCTCACATTGTCGGTAGGGCCTACCTCTAACTAGAGCTGAGAACTCCCCACAGTCTGATTGCAACAGATTGTGTGTTTTAGACTGAGCTCAGTAAAGGTGTTTTGCTGATAGGAATCAGGACCATATCCAAAGCGAGGTGTGAGTGGATCCGTCAGGGGTCATGACAAATGGTCTTAGCAGTTAGGCCCTTTCTGTGTTCATGATGTTCTCATCATATTTCTCTAGCACTTCAGTCTTTCTTTCTTCTTAGTAGGATTCCTCTACTTCCAATTCATAACACCCACCCCTCCAAACACACACACACACACACACCCCATAGTGTCTTTCATCTTGAAAAAATTCTTTTCAAATTTATTTCAGAAACAAGACCTGAATTCTGTTTTGGGTTTGAAATCTATTTTTGGATTTATTTATTTGTTGTTTGCAAATCAAATTTAGGGTTTTATTTTTTAAAGAACTTTATAATCAAATGCAGTAGTCTAGGATTCTAAAGATGTTTAATATTAAGGAATCTAAACATGTAATTCACCACATTAACATATCTTAAAGGAGAAAACATACAGAAGTGTTTCAGTGGATGATAAAACATATTCAATACAATATAAATGCATTTCTAGGACATCTGTACTCTCTCATTTTTTAAGCATGGATGCAATACCTTTATTCATAATCTGGTTTAGTCAAGTGACCCAATAGTGTCCTCTATAGCATTTTTCTCTCCTTGCAGGATTCAGTCTATTGAAAATGTTATGTTTATATCTCTCTTTAGTCTTCCTTAAGCCAGGCCATTTCCACAGACTTTACCTTTGGAGCATTGAAACTTGTGAAGAAAGTTGTCCCCATTTTATTAAAAGAAAAGTGTACTTATCTTGGATTTGTCTTATGTCTCCCATGATTAGATTCATCATACACATTCTGAGGTAAAACACTGGAGAAATGGTTTCATATTCTCCAAATGTTTCATATGGAAGCACATGATGTCCATATGCTCATAGTGGTGATGTCAGTTTTGATGAGATGGTCAAGGTGTTGGCTGGTGTCTCAGCTGTGTTATTTCTGACTTACCCTCTTCACAAATGTGCCTTCTATGAGGAAACACTTTAAAAACATACATGTATCACATTCCTCACTAAAATTACCCTAGATTTATCATCCACTGATGACAATTACCTGATACAGTATTGACAATGATGACTGGAAAATGATGATTTAAGAACTGTAACATTCTCTCCGAATGGACTAGTTGGCACTCAGCATTCTATCACAAACAGGAATCCTCTCTCATTTACCAGTTATTTGATATTTCATTTACTTAGTGACTTATTATCAGTCTAGAAGCACAATTCTTATTATTTCAGTGATTTGTTATTCATTTTGTACAAAATTATTCTGGTGCACAGAGTTTTCCAGATTAGGTATTAGAGCCCATTGGGCTAGCTTTTGTGTTTTTGTGACATGCCTCCCTTGTTTTTTTTGTTTTTGGTTTGTTTTTGCAATTCTTGTTGGCATAATAACACATTCCAGGGTCATAATGGACCTGCTTCACCACACCTTTGGAATCAGCCACTTATCCAAATAGCCCTGATTCCTTTTAGTGAAAATGGTATTTGAATAAAAATTGTGAGCACTAGGAATGCTTATTTGCACTGGAGTGCATTTGCTTCTTGGCCCTTTCTGCAAACAGGCTTGTGTCAAAAAGGTAGATTGAATCATAATACAATTTTTATTTTATCTGAGCAAACAATGTTTCGTGAATCAGGCAGCTCCAAATCAGAAGTGGTTCAGGAGCTTCATTGAGGGAATGCAAGTGGGAGGCTTTTATAGGGTGAACAGAAAAAGAAAGCAAAGAAAAATAGTTGATTGGCTAACATTATATGATTGCCTTATTTAGTGTATCCTTTTGGAAAGTCCCTAGTTATATAATTATAAGTTTGTTGGTTGCTTCTGACTGGTTAAACGTAAGTTCTGTTCTTCTTTAATGTAGACATTTACAAGATATAACTTAAGGTAAGTTTCACTTATTTTTGAGTATCAGGCAAAGTTAGGATTGTTTATGGGGCCTCAATGGCTTAGTCTGCTCAGGGATTCTTTAGGCCTTGTCTCCATTTTAATTTATCTTGACACTAGTAAATATATGCCTGTGCATATACACACAAATACATATACACATACCTGCACAAAGATATGCATGTACACATACATGCATATTTTAGAAATCATGAATTTACACCAACACATCTAATTCTAGTCCAGCTTCACAGGATTACTTCTTGTTTTCTCCATTCCATATTTGCATGTCCCATTTTCACAGGGAAAACCCTGTCTCCCAATACCTCCAATATATTTACTTATTTGCTCAATCCTATACTACATCTCTAGTTACTTCTAGAAGTGCTGCAGACACACCACTAGACCAAGAAAATCTACCAGAAGAGATTAGGATTTGCAGTCCACCCCTCTCCACTTCCCCCCACTCAGTGTACCTCAATCATGCCCAAGATTGGGGTATGTAATCGAATACTGTGTTATAAGTTACTCAGACTTATTTTATTTTCTTCTCTTTTCACGTGGTTACGGCACTTGTTTGAAATACAAGTTGGCTTATTTATTTCAGATCACTTTCAATTTTAGGTTTTATAATCCCTTCCCATCTGTATTAATATATTTTATAATGTATAGTACACTAACTTGCTTCTAAAAGTCAAAGCTATGCAGAAAAGCATACTCAGAGAATCATCACTCTCTTCGTCAAACCTTGCACCCGGCTTACCCTCACCTTACAGATAACCAACTTTATCGCTTTCTTCCTTTTCTGTGCATGTATTTCTTTTTGTGTAAAGATAAATAGAAATATTTGTGTGTTATTGTTTCCCATTTTTTTTTCCTGTGCAATGGTTGTGCTTTCCATGTGTTCGTTTGCACTCTGCTTTTACCTCTCAGTATAATCTCCTGGAATTCACTCCAAATCAGTTAATAGAAATCCTTCTGGTTATTTTTTCAAAAACATAAGACTGGATTCTATGTACGCAATGTAATTTATTCAATTGAGCTCTTATGCTTGAGCATTTAGACAGTTGACAGTATTTTGGATTGTAAATAATACTGCACAGAATGATATAGTGTACATATATTTTTATATTTTTGGATGTGTATATTAAAGGCAAATTATCAGAAATGCAATTGGCCAAAGGATACATTTGTATTCAGTGTTACATTTAATCTTTTCTGTCTCATTTACTCTTGTCTAAATATCTAAGCCTTTCATGTTTACTTTGGCAATCTCATTCTCCCTGTCTTTCTTTTAATACCCACTTCCACCTTCCGAGTTCAGGACCACTTCCCCCAAATTGCATTAGCCTGTGAAGTCTCTCTATTAATCTTTCCCTTTCATATCACGGTGTGGTTTTCTCGAGTAGTTTGGAGCAGAAGGGGAAGAGGAGTTAAATGGATTGGGGAATGAGACTGAAGGGCAGGATGAGATAGAACTGGGAACCAAAGTGTTCCAGAGGCTTACTTTCTGGGAAAACTAGAAGAGAGGTCTAGTGTGCAGAGCAGAGTGAGGCCCCAGCACGACTGCACAGGGGTGCGGGCTGCTGTGCATGTCTGGTCAGTCATCCTAGAGAGCGTCAGCTCTATTGGGCACTATGAGAAATAGGGGCTAAAATAATCCAGTGTAAGGCAGAAGACCAATCCTAGAAGCTGAAATAACTGGCAACCACGAGAGAGAAGCTGTGTGTCATAGCATGAGCACAGGAGTCTGGAGCTTTTGCCTGGGTGTCCATATGCCATGTCTTGGAGGCTCAGTTGTGAATTCTGTTTTATGGGTGAGACAGGAAGTCTCTGAGCTGTTGTAAACTTCCCACATCAGCCAGGAATGGTTCTGAAGCGTGGATGAGAGGAAGCTGCCTATGGGGGACTTCAGTGAGGAGTCATGGAATTTGGAGACAGAGGCTGTTCCTTCCCATCTTTCCTGAAAAACTTCCCCATACACAACCCTAACCAAGTGACTTCCTGTTCTCATATTGTATATGAGAGACCCATATTATATATTGTTACATGTATAATATTTATATAGGTTTATATTTGTATTTATAAAACAAGAAAACATATGACACAAAGACTTTTGCAATAGACTTGTGGCAAATGCTATACGAAATGTATTAATAGGGTATCTCTCTCTTCCTGGTCTATGATTTACTTAATTTTAAGCATCTCATTATTTTCTATAGCACCTAGTTCCTTGCCAATAGCATAATAGATAACAAGAAAGCTTAATGGCTGGATATGTGGGTGGTTGAGAGACAGAATGAATAAATGTGAAAATGAAAAAGGAGGGTGATAATTAGAGAATAAAAACTAGATGAAGCAATAGCATAAATTATAGCATTAGATTTCAAATTACTTTTATGAATTGAGATAGCTTTTATGGAAAAATGCAATAAAATGAAGTTTAATAGCAGGAAAATTCACATGAGTATTTGCAAGGTAGAAAAATAAATTTGGCAAAATCACCATTTATATGTAACTATGAGAGAAAATTTTATAGATAATAGTGAGTTACAAGTGATCTGGGTAACAGAATCATACAGAGGATATGAAAACAAGGATATTGTCAGCATCTGTAAATATATTTTCTGGAGAAAATGTTTTGAAGTATGACAAATATACTCTGTATCTTAATGGGAGAAGAGGAAGAACCTGGAATTTTCTCAAATCCTACTATACTAGGTTCAGCAGTGCTTCTAGAAACATGACTGGGTACATATTCATCACTTGGTATTGGCAGCAGTTCTATGAAGCAGAGATTATTTGCAGATATGGAATCTGGGAATTAGAAATGAAAGCAATGCCTTTAAAAATGCATAGCTCATGAAGATTAAAACTCTGAATTCAGCTACAGCTCTACCTTACTCACAAGTTCATGCTGTTTCTAATACATCACATATGGATTTGCCAATATCTAGTAATTCAAACCAAATTATAAACAGCATCTTTGGTTCCTCACCATCCTTTGCCCTTTACAGTCAGTCACCAAATGCCCTCTACTCTTTCTCCTAAAAATATCTCCAAATGCATTTGGTCCTTTCTAAACTTACTGCATCATGTATCTAGCCACTGTCTTCTTTCCTTCAGATAAATCTAACAGCCCTTTAACTTATTTCTTTGTGTCCACTTTTGCCTCATTTTAGTTCATGCATTCTTATGCTATTGCTTCATTTAGTTTTTGTTACATGACAACCAGAGTAATCTGGTTAAAATTCATACGTGATCACAGGACTCCCTTGCTTCTGTGTCTTCCAATTGTTGTTGGATTAAAGCTGGAAATCTTTAACATGACCTATAAGACTTCCATGAACTGCACCTCGGGTTGCTTTATTCATTTCATGCCACTTTTCACGCTGTTCTGTATACCTCAATCCCATGTGATGTTTTCTCTTCACCTCCTTTTTTATTGCAGAGCCTGTGCTATTGTCTCGTGCTGGAAGTGAGCCTCTTTGCCATCTCACTTCTCTTAGCTATGCTTTTTCACTTGGCTTTTAGCTCTCAACTACTTCCTCAGGGACTCTGACTTTGACCTCCTGGTCTCAGTTAAATCCCCTTGCTGTGTGCTTCTGCAACACTTTGCACTTCTGTATTTATTTTATCACATTGGTTTTTGCTCATATAAAACTCTGAGAGGAGGGTTATGGCTGACTTGATCCCTGTTGGATTTTCAGAGTCCGGGGTGGTTTCTTGTGAGTGATCAAGTCTCGGTGGATACATGTTGATGGCCGTGATGAGCGTTAAAACTCAAAATAGATGCATTAAAAAGGGAATTTCTCAAGTGAGCATTCTACCTGTCAATATTATTTGAGTGCAATATTAATGTTGGTGAAATTACTTTTGGGGGATGTGGTAGAATCTTCAGACTTGGGTGAGTATGTGGCTCGTGGTAGACCAGATGACTACCATGCCTCTCTAATTCTGAAGTCCCCTGAGAATCTGGTGAGGTCCCAGCAATCCAAGCCTAAGGAAATCCACTCTGGTCCCATTATTGTAAGGACATGTGTATCAGTATAAGTTAATGCTGAGGAGCGGAAATTATCAGGGGCACATATGATTTTTATTTATGCATTTGATAATAAATTATTTCTGCAAATATTTGCTACATAAATAGTATGTTCAAACATTGTGCAAAGTATTGAATAAATACTGGTGAGGAAGATAAGCAAGGTTGTTTCCCTCCCAAAGCTTAGAATTTCCTGCTTTATTTCACTTCAGACCCAGGTGTGATCAGAAGACCTTCATGCATTGGTTGGATGGCTATGTGTAAAGTAGCTCTGCGCTTAAAGAGGTCAAATTTACATTCATTAAACCATTAGAGGTCAATAATAATAGTTGTGTGATGTAAAATATAATTGCCATGCTACAGTAACCTCAAGAAAGAGTAGCGTGCACTTTACCTCACCATGCCCACAGAAATATCTAATTGAAATATTAAATCAATTTGGATTATCTACTCTCTTAAAAGAATGGGTATAAAAATCCACTAATTATAATTTTATATGCATGTAACAAATAGTCTTTTTTGTTTTCATGGTTTAGGTACATGTCACTGTGGCAGGTGTAAGTGTGATAATTCAGATGGAAGTGGACTTGTGTATGGTAAATTTTGTGAGTGTGACGATAGAGAATGCATAGATGATGAAACAGAAGAAATATGTGGAGGTATGTATATTGGCTCTGTAGAAATTAATAAAAGTACCTGTTTTTTCACCTATTACATTGTTCTTTTATCTCTACATAAATTTCTGCTCTAGGTGTACTAATTCAGTTTAAACCTATGTTTATCTGGAAAACATTTCACATAAGGAGAGTGAGACTATGGCATTAAAAGTAGACTAGTACTTTTTAGATGCAAAGCCAAATTGTCCCCAGAGGAGAGCTGTGTCATTATGGCAACAGACCAATTGCATAGCTCTGAAGTAGTCCTAGTAGAATACCATCTCCTCTGCTCACCTTAGCCACTTTTATTCTCCTTTCTCCTACTCTCTTAAGTGTATATTTTCATTTCTTCGTTTTTCCCTTTCTAAAACATGCGTCTCACATCCTACTGGGGACACTGAAGGTCAACAGGGTTATTAGCCTAGAGTTTACCTCCCCCTCTCCGTCCCTACACACTTAGATAACATTTGCAATGACCTTTTCTATGTACCACCATTACTGAATTCATTTTTCTGTTGTAGCAGTTCTTGCATGTTTGCTAGTGACAAATTCTGCAATAAGTGCTTTACATTCATTATATTTTCTCTCACAACATCATTCTAGGGTAAGAATTATGTTTATGTTCATAGATAGATGTGGAACCTGGGACTTGAATAAATTAGGTAATGAACCCAGGGTCAGTCCGCCGATGATAGTAGAATTTGGGCTCGTGTCTGTGTTCCTGACGCCTCACCACTCCCGACTGCATCAGTGCCTCAGAGCTCAGAGCTCCACAAGAGGGGTCTCTCCTCACCACTTGTAGTTTTCGTCTCTTCTGCTCAACCTGCAAGCCTGTGCCCAGAGTTTCCATTTGCAACCTTGAATGGCATAGGAAAAGGAAAGTAGAAAGCAGAGAGAATCATTCGGTTTAGGTAAATTCTTCTCTGCTATGATTAAACTTATATTTGACTCCTATCTGATGGGATTCCAGCTGAAGGAATACTGCCCCACATGCAGAAATAGTAGTTTTAGAAGTATTGTTTTTCTAGAAGGATTAGGACCCAAGGGGCCAGGTGGAACCAGAGACCCCTGAGAAAGTGTGGCTAGCATAGGACAAGCTTGTTCCTTTGTTTACATTTTGGTAGCTTCAATTCCTATGAGTCATACAAATACACTTATTCTAGGCCTAACTGGCCTTTCCTCCTTGATCTCCTGGCTGTACAACCCACCTGGATAAAGCAAACAAACACAAAATTGTTGTTTTCATTTTTCCAAGCCAATGACCTAAGCAAGATGCTACTCAGACAAGTCTCTCTTAAAGGGCTCAATCCAAAATAATTAGATCAATTAGACAAATCCATCCACAAATATATGTATTTGTCCTCTTCAAGTTTAGTTTCTAATTATTACAGATGAAAAAAAAAAGAAGACTGGAACATGCTTTGGGGCCAGTGTGTGGTGACACACACCAACAAAGCAGAGTCTATTTGCCATGTATACATAGAAACATGTAACTTAACACAACAGAAAATGTTTAACTTTCAAACTTTCTAGTTGTTATTTCCATTTGTTTGAGGCTTAAGCAATTTCATGGTGCAAAGTCTCTGAACAAGGACACCAGCACTCTAGTAAACACCCTCTGGGGGTGACATTGCCTGGGATTGTAAATCTTTCCATGTGTCATTCACATGAAACCAATCTGCTGAGAGATGATTCTACAGTTCATCAGTGAAGCAGTACAAATAGAGATTTTCTTGCTCTATCAGTTTGCACAAAGCAAAGAATTATGTTTATTGTGTGGAATATGTATTGTCCTAAAGCACACATTTTAATCTCAATTATTCAGATGTGTCTTGTTCAATATTTTTATTTGAGTTATGTGGATATCTGTTTAATTTTCCATATCTGCATAGATGTGTATCGTTACATAATTTTTGCTTCCTTATTTACCTCTAACTCAAAGGTTTCTTAGTAGAACCCGAATTCGATACTGACTTGTATAAATATTTAAAGAATTTGGATGTGAGAAATACAGATTTTCTATTATTTGTTAATATAGTAAGCCTTACGTATGTAGCACCTTCTGTATAAATTTTCTGAAATTACAAAGAAAATAAATTCTGTAGTCTAAAAAGGTGATTGCGTCTTACAAACCTGACTCCTAAGAAAAGCAATTAATATACACTATTGCTTTTCTTCAGTGTAATCCTTGAGTTATTGAGGCCTGTGATATATCACTAGGATGTGATTTAGTTGTGTGTGCAAGTGGACACTGTTTTAAGTTCATAAGTAAAATATATAGATGATATCTTCTGTACCGATTAAATCACTTGACAGCCTTTGCACTTGCTTAAGTAAACAAATTTAAAATTCAGATTCTTTATGGAAATGGTCATTGATTGTTAGGTTAAGAAGTGATTTTCTTTGAATATCCCAATTATAACTTATTTAGACAGAAAACATGGCACTGGGTCCCTGTCTCTTTCTCTGTGTCTCACTATAGCACTCTTTCTCCTTATCTGTCTGTCTCTGTCTCTCACATGTATGTCTTCTTGATGGAAGTCTCATCTGCTGGATGTGAATAGCATAGGAGACCACAATATTCTATTGTAATTCCTGCTTCTTATGTGAGTTTTACAGGTCCTACTAAAGTTCTTGCCATTGGCCAGAGATACCATAGCGTTAGAATGATAAATATGCTTATAAGACAATGAAAAGTAGTCTCATAATCAGTTTTGCATTGTCTTTGGGGGATTTTGACTGTAAGAGAAGGGAGATGGAAAGGACAAAGACTTTAGCCATAGACTGATAAAACACAAACTCCTATAATACAGAAAGAATAGACTAAAAAAAAAAACAAGAGCAAGGACCTACATTTATGCTTAGGTGATATAACCACAAAGATGAGAGTACAAGAAATAAATTTTGGGATAAATACCATCTTTGGGGAATTTGCAGAAGGATTGCTAGATGTGGATGAGGAAAGCAATGATGGGATAATTCACTACAGATGGCTTGGAGGCAAGTGCAGATGAGCAGGTGACAGGTTACAGAGAGGTAGGAGCTGAAAGAGGGCATCTGGACACAAAATGATGAGTGCCCTTAGCTGTCATTGGTATCCCCTTGACAAGTCGAAAGGGAGTTTGATTGTGAGGCCGAGGGCCCATGGTATTTTATTTGTCTAAATGAGGATTAAACATGGACTAGGCTGAAAACCTCTTTCACATGGTAGAACCCAACAGCTTGTGGGACACAGTTGAGTGAAAAGATGAAATATTTCTTCTGCTTTAAAGAGTTGTTTGGTCCTTCATAATGTGTATCTAGGTAAATATGCACCATTGGTTTCTCAATAGTTGATTTCAAATGAAATATTTTAATAACTAATTCAAGAAACGTCCTTAGAGTGAATGCTCATATATATTTGGGTTTGATACGTGCATTTGAGATGGAAAAGTAATAGACTCTCATGGTCATTCATGTCATTTCGTTAAAAATACTTTCAGTCAGTTCTCTGTCTAGGCCAAGTTAAAGGACACTTTGCTCTTTTTGTGTAATTAAGCAGGTAAAGGCACAACCATGATGTGTTTGGAGAAAGCTGTATAATTTGATGATTTTAGGCAAGGAATGTTGAACTGTGACATTATTTCAGAAGGCAAAAGTGATCACAAAAAGATAGAAAGTTAATTCTGCTTATGAAAGTTGCTTTTTTCCTCACTGTATAAAATTCATTTTGGGTAAAGGCCATGGGAAGTGTTACTGTGGAAACTGCTACTGCAAGGCTGGTTGGCATGGAGATAAATGTGAATTCCAGTGCGATATCACCCCCTGGGAAAGCAAGCGAAGATGCACATCTCCAGATGGCAAAATCTGCAGTAACAGAGGTGTGTCATTCATATATGTTACTACATAATGGGGAGGCAAACAAAGCTTTTAATTGCTAATACTTCTTTTTTCTGTATGTCCTCTAGTGTGGGAGGAAGTTATCTTCTAATCATTTACTTTGATGTAAATCAACATTTACTATATCAACAGTCTTTTCTGTCTTGTTTTTTATTGAGTAGAAAAGAGAAAGATAAGAAAGTTGCTGTCATTCTTTAAGCTTCACTGAATAAACAGTTAACTTAGGGACTGTAATTTATTTGGCAGCCCTCCAGAAATAGCACAGTACAGCTAAAAGGCAATTCCTGTAGATACTTCTGTTAAATGTCTCTTGACTAACAGAACCATCTACAGCATGAGCATCTAATTATCCAGAGAGCATTCAGAAAACCCTCTTGTCTTAATTATGAGTAAATGGAAGGCTTGGTTGAAATGCAGATTTGATATGGACTAATTTAACTTCTGTGTGCAATAATAAAAATGTGATATTGAATGCAATAGATTTACAAAGTATGTATCCAATAGCCATATGGAATGTACACTGACTTTACAAAGGAAGTTAACAAATATATTAATATTGCTAAACTATAACTTAAAGGTAGTTAACTAACTTTTGATATAAAATCAAACAGTTTAAACATAGTTTTAAAATTCCTTGAAAATACTTAATTTTACCTCTGTCATAATGATAAAGAGAGCCATCCTAAACTTTTCATTGCCTATCGATGACATTAAAAAGTGACTATACTTCTTCTTTAAAACTAAAAAAATCAGATAGGTGGAAAACTTCTTTTTCGTTTCTATACGTGCATTGTAATAGATAATGCTAGTACAGAAACCGTAGCATACCGCCTTTCAGAAACTGACATAGGGGAATAAAATGTGCCACATTTCTTTACATAGAGAAAATAAATAAAAAGGCAGGAACTTGGAACAAAATCATGAAGTCCTCTCTTTGTGAGGATTAAATCTTACAGTATCATACGAATTTACCTTATGGTTTCTTTTTATGTATAAGGATGTGTTTTCTGCATAGGTCCTTTTATGCAGTAGGGGTCACAGTTACCATTTATAAGTATATGAAGCTTGAACTGTGTACTGTGGAAAATTACTATTTAGCTGTCAAAAAGAGAGAGGTGGAAAATGGAGTTGGTTGGGCCGTGGATTAAGGTCAGGTTCCACAGCAGAGTTACGTTGGCTGTGAGAGACGGCGTCCTTCAGAAACATAAGCTAAGCCACCTGCCTCCCACTTTGCTGTGCTGGGAGCGTTCTGACCTGGAGATCTGGCAGAGGCATAATAGGAAGCAGCTTGCCTCAACGAGACTCACCGCTTCTGAGACTCAGGGGTACATGAAGACAGGGCAGAAGTGGGTGCTGAGATGAGTCATTGTTTTTTCTAAAAAGGTTATACACCTGACTACCCTGAAAGCGTTTCTGTGCCATTGCATCCATAGGTAATAGAAAGACGCTGGTCCCTGCACATACCTATCTTGTCTTCCTTTTTCCCCATCTTCAGGGGACAAAAACCCAATATCGCAGACATAGCCATTAATAGAACAAATGTCCTCTATTGCCCACCCAGTTTATTGAGTTTCATATTGGACCCATTTACACATGGCTGAGAAGCTGCTGCTTTTTCACATCTGCATGCTCCTAGTCCCTGTTCCTCTTGACCAAACTCATTTATCCTCTTATGAAAGCAATGCATATTCATTTTTAAAAATCTAGATAACAAAGTAGAGTACACAGAAAAATAAGAAAATGACCCATAAACCTAACATCCAGGTGTAACCTCCTTTTACATATTGTCACGTGAACTTTCAGTCCGTATTTATTTGTTAAAATTCACTTGTGTGGCTGCCCTATCCCTGTATTTCCTTCTTATTAAAGAAAAATTTCAAATCATACTGTACATGCTGATTTGTAATTTTATACTTTTATTTATTTCGTAATATATGTTATTTATCTTTCCATATTTATGGAGCAAAAACCTAATTATTACTCAGTGATTGCCAGCTAGTCCATATGTGTGTACCATTACTGCGCTAATTCCCCATTGATCAATATTTCAGTCACTAGTAATTTTTCAAAAATATAAATGCAACTATATTTTATATTTCTGAACATATACTCGTGTGTACTTTTTATTTCTGTTGGGTACATTAATTAAAGCGAGCTATACGTCTAAATAATAACACAGATATAAAAAGTGCATATTGTAAAATCCCTACCCAGAAAGTTGTACCATTTTGTACATTCTGTTCAGGGCCAGAAAGTACCCATTGTCCCACACCTTTACCAAGTCTGGATCCAAGCAATATTTTCCACCTCTGACAATCTGACATCTGAAATAATTGCCAATCATGATTATTTTGAAGCTCTCCCACTGCTACCCGCTTAGTAGTGGTCAATTGAGTGATAAACATTTTTCATCTTTATCTATCATTATTTCTGTATGAAATTTCCTATTCTTTGGTTTTGTCTATTTCACTTTGGGCATATTAATCCTTTCTATATTCAATCCTATGATTTATTTATATGTTTTTGTAAGTATTCTTTGTCTTTTACAGACATATTAACCACTTGTTTCAGCTTTATCAGTCTTTTTTTAAAATAGTGTTTTGTTTCCAACCAAAATTTTCAATTTTTTTTGGAAATTTTCAATTTCCTTTTTTAGTAGTTGTGCATTGGGGGTCTTGAATAAAAAGAGTTTAGTTCATATTCTGCAGTTTTATTGTGTACATTTAAATCTTTAATCCAACTGGTTTTGTTGTTAGAGGTAAGAAAAGGATTTAACTTTATGTCTCTATCAAATGATTAGCTGGTTGCCCTAAAGACAGTTACTGATAATCCACACAGAGTAAATATGATTTACAGATGAGTATTTCCCTCTGCAAGTCTGCAAATGACCAAGTTTATATCTCTCAATCTGATCTCCAACATTCTCTATAATCTGGACTCATCTGATCTAGCAAATCTTACTTCTTAGTCTTTTTTTAACATGCACCTCAGGGTCCCTATGCCCATCCCTACCCTTCATTGCTTAGTCTTTTCTTCTTGACTTTCTCTTAGTTCTACCTCCAATGTCTCCTAGAACATTTCCTCTAATCCGTATATATCCAATCCATCCACTGCTAATTACTCCAACCCGCATTGATCCTCTTTCTCCAAATTCTTAGAGCATTCATGTCTTAGTTTACAAAATAGTCACACATTGTTTTTAGTGTTTGCTAATTTTTCTTTCTAATTAGCTTTCTTTTTGCCAAATAGATTGCAAGCTTCTTGAGGGAAAGGATTATATCTTATATAAATTGTTTTAGTGTTATCTTTGAAGGAAACTAACACAATACTAATGACACATTCTACCAACTCACATAATTATAGAATATATAATAACTTTTGTTTATTAAGGAATCTCTATTACCAATATTAGATGGTGCTTTTCCTTTTTAGAATATTTTTATCTAATATATGTGGTTTTTTTTCAAACACAAAGTAAGCAGCAGAAAATAATAAGAAATATGTGAAATGCTTTCTTTCATGGTGTTTCTTGACTGGATTCTTATAAAATTCTTCTTCCCACCTAGGGACTTGTGTATGTGGTGAATGTACCTGTCACGATGTTGATCCAACTGGGGACTGGGGAGATATTCATGGGGACACCTGTGAGTGCGATGAAAGGGACTGTAGAGCTGTCTATGACCGATATTCTGATGACTTCTGTTCAGGTAAGGGCTCTTTCAATTCCTATTTTTCTGGAGGGGGAAGTGGGGATGGTTAATGGGCACAAAAAAAAATTAGATAGCATAAATAAGACCTACTGTTTGATAGCACAGTAGGGTGACTATAGTCAATAATTTAATTGTACATTTTACAATAATGTAAAGAGTATAATTAGATTGTTTGTAACACTAAGGATAAATGCTTGAGGGGATGGATACCCCATTCTCCATGGTGTGCTCACTTTACATTGCATGTCCGTATCAAAACACCCCACGTACCCCATAAACACATGCATCCACTGCGTACTCACAAAAATGTAAAAAGTAATGAATAAAAATAAAAAAATACATATTTTCCTGTTTTCAAGATTTCTGGTTCTCACAGAACTGAATGTGCATTCCAAAGCATTTTATATTTGCAGTGCTCCTACTAGTGACTTGGAAAACCTCCAGAGAATCCCCAAAGTTGCAAAGGCTAGAGATGAGAGGGCACCCACTCTTTTCAAGTTAGTCTAATTCCTCACCCAGGAGAATCATTAGCTCTAGATAGCTGCTCAGCTACTCAGTTCAACCACAAAAATGTAAAAAGTAATGAATAAAAATAAATACATATTTTCCTGTTTTTAAGATTTCTGATTCTCACAGACCCTGTAAAAGAAACTGAATGTGCATTCCAAAGCATTTTATATTTGCAGTGCTCCTACTAGTGACTTGGAAAACCTCCAGAGAATCCCCGAAGTCGGCGAAGACTAGAGATGAGAGGGCACCCACTCTTTTCAAGTTAGTCTAATTCCTCACCCAGGAGAATCATTAGCTCTAGATAGCTACTCAGTTCAACTCTGAGACTGCAAAACTCGCAGAGCTGTTGACAATGAACAGGATAGTTGCCATCAGGACAGCTGTATTAATGTATTACAAAACAGGATAATACAACGCCCAGGGTTATTTTGTGCATTAACTCTTTGACAGGCTTTAAACTAAAGTTATTCTGCAATGTAGTCTATAATTAAATATCCATTAGTAGTTTCAAAAATCTTTGACTGTAAATACTAGGGGGCAGATACTGTCTGTTAGGGACTGAGTGACATCTGGGCTACTGGTGTGGTAGAAGCCAGTAGCAGACCGGAGACAGCCATGATCTTTGACTTCATGGAGTTTGCAATCTAAATGCAAAGAAATAAAATACGTAAGTCCAGGATGTCTAAAAGTACAAAGAAAAAGAAAGCAGTCAGAAATCTATCTGAAAAGGTATCATTTAGCAAAAATGGAGTTATAGATTTTCAGTCCAGTTCTATTTGATAATCCATAAGGTAGAGACATACACATATACATCTTGTTAAGCTTGACTGCCTGATTGGTGCATGCAGATGGATACAAACTCCTCTGGTCTCCTGAAAGTTTGCCAGCAAAGGGAGATAAAAGAACTGCCCCATTTAATTATGAGTGTGCAACTTCAAAGCCTTCTCCAGACTGACTGGGGAAAGCCTGCTGCTAAATCTTCCCTTTGTAGAAGGGTTTCCCTCTTCTGATAATGTCTTGTGCTCCAGAGGATTTCCTAAACATTTTGTGAACACTACTCTCTTGAGGGCATTTTTTCTCTTATTCATTATGCATGCTCATGTTCTTCATTATCGTTGCTGTCAACACAGTGGTAATAAAAGAGCTCATGACTAGTGAGTGGCGCCTATGTTCCAAAGAGATGATGAGAATCGTGGGGAAGAGGGCTCTTGGACATTTTAATTAGGGTGATATGGCTCTTCACAGTGGTGGCGATGTAGGGCTAATGCATTGCAGGAGGTTATTGGATCATAATGCATGTGGATTTCATCCAAAAAAAAAAAAAAATAGGTTTGCAGGTAAAGAAAAATGAGAGGGACATTCCAAGCAGAAGGAACAGAGGGATAGAATCTGTGCATGGGACCAGACTCAGTTTGAAATTACCAGAATGCCAAGTAAGGAAGCATGTGGTAAAAGGTAAAGTTGGTTAAGAAACAAGAACTGGGTTTTTTTTTTTTTACCTTCCTGCAGACCCAGGTTTTATTTTAAAGGCAATGAGGAGCTAATGATGGTTTTAGGCAGTAGAGTGCTATCGTTATCAGATTTCTAGTCTGAGTGTCTAGGAAAATGTTGGTGCCATTTACTGAAATGGGGAATATGGAAGGAAGCTGTCAAGTTTGTTTCTAGACATCTCCAGCATAGAGGACAAAGGGTAAGCCAAAGTTTATTTTTTTTTCCCAAGCCTGTTGAATATGTGAGTCAGGGTCACGGCTAAACCAAGAGAATTTCAAGTTGTAAGCATAGAGTTGGTAGTTAAAACTATGCTGGCATTCAGGAAATGCCATTTGACAATGTAATTTTTTTTTTTGACGGAGTCTCGCTCTGTCGCCCACGCCGGGGTGCAGTGGTGCTATCTCAGCTCACTGCAAGCTCCGCCTCCCGGGTTCCCGCCATTCTCCTGCCTCAGCCTCCCGAGTAGCTGGGACTACAGGCGCCCGCCATCTCGCCCAGCTATTTTTTTGTATTTTTAGTAGAGATGGGGTTTCACCATGTTAGCCAGGATGGTCTCAATTTCCTGACCTCATAATCAGCCCGCCTCAGCCTCTCAAAGTGCTGGGATTATAGGCATGAGCCACCGCGCCAGGCCACAGTGTCATTTTGAGATTGCCTTTGAGATAAATGTGAATTGACACAATTTTAAAATAAGGGAGGCATATAAAAGGCTATATGTTAAAATTGTAAGTGTGTGACTTGCTGATTTGGAGCCCCTTTTTCCCATGAGTATTCACTTTCTTGTGAAATCCATAATTCTGATGTTGATCCTGATTTTGGACTGGGTTGAAAAATTCAAACTAACTGCATTACAGTGATAATTCAGGGCCCTATGAGCCAGTGCATCTCACTGTGAGGGAGTGGGGTCATGGGGTGCAGATGGGTGATGACTCCTGAATTGACACTTTAATCCTTGTGTAAGCTTGTGTGCAATTCCTGCAGTGAGTCATTTAGTCTTGGAGTGCTTACTCTAGGCTGAGCAGGTGAACTGTCATTGAGGCGGCTGCCCTGGAATCTAATATTCCACCTCACCCTATTCCCCTTCAATCCCTCTTCCCTGTTTTCTTTTTTCTCACATTTTCCTTTCTTCCGTACCCTATGAGACTCCACCCAGTGGGTATGGACAGGTAGGGGTAGGAAGAGGTGATGGCACAATTGACTGTAGTTTGGACAAGAAGACATCAATCTATTATTGTGATTTTATGATCCACTGGTTGAAGTGAATTGAACGTGGCCAGCTTTCCACAGCTTGGCTCCCACACTGAGAATGAGGAATTGAGGAAAGAAGACAAAACTCATATTTACAGATACCCTACTCTATTGGACCGTTACTGAGTTCTTTATTTACACACTAACTCAGACAGGGAGGCATTACTGTCTATAGTTTAGCAGAGGAGAAAATACGTTCAGAGAAATTAAGTAACCTGATAAAGTTCATACTGCCATTAAAGTGTCATCTGTAAACACATATAGCCTGACTACTCATGTAACTTAATCTCCAGGTGATGCAAATACGGTTCTCCAATTTTACTTTATTTTTCTGAGGAAGAACTGTCCTCTGGGTACTCAGATTTTTTTTTTTTAAATGAAACTAAGCTTCTCTGAACATCATTATGATCTGTAGCAGACATCAATCTCTGGAGTATTTTATCATTCTTACAGAATCTGTAGAATTCTTTATGCTGTATGGTATTACGCTTAGAGAATTATTAGTCTTTAAATTTTTCCTAATTACCAGTCTAAGTTGCAGTGTAAGAAGAGTACCATATAGTTGATTATTGAGCATGTTAATACCTTTGTGTTATGAGACAGAAGTAACCCAATGACATCAATATTCTCTAGTCATTCATGCAAGACTAGAATATAATAAGGCTCGGATGAAATGAAGTTTTATTTTTAGCTCCTATTCTTGCCATCCTGAGAGTATTGGTCTTAGTTAAGTCCAAGGAAATCTCTGGAAGGATTAGTTTAAGTTAGCTCTTTTAATTGACATTCCCATTTTATTCATTCATTCACATTATTTCCATTTATCTATTCAGTAATGCATTTAAATGTAAATATTTTATGCCTAACACGTCATGAATATAGGGGACACAAATATGTTGAAACACGGTCCCTGCACCCACCAAATAAATAAATTTTATTTACTTCTTTTAATCCGATCTGTTGTTCATCATCCACAAAATACCTGTGTTTTTGTATGTTCATTCGCCCATACACCAACATGACTGTTTTACTACACACATACATGCACCCCTCAAAGATAATACTGTTGACCCAATTTGAGTGTGACTGAAATGATCAGGGCATGAACAGGCATCCTGATGTGTCCCGACTGTCCTCTTTGTTACACCCAATTTACTTTCTGATTCTAATATAACTGCTTTATTCCTAATGGCTGCTTGCCACTCAGGTCTATTTCCCCAAATCCCTTAACTGAAAAAATACGCTGCAATGTGACCTTAAACTTTATCGTTCAGCTTCCCCTGCCTAAGAAAATTATGAAAATATAAGGAAAGTTTTGGCTTAGGGTTACATTAGTTTGGAAAATGGAATCTTTTGATAGAACTGTATTATGTGGCGAAATTTGTCACTGTGGATTGCCAAAGCGTTAAGAAAAGAAACTAAAGGAAATGATTAAGTATATTCAGACTGCATTTTCTTGAAACATTAATATATTGAATTTAAAAAAATAGCAAGCACTAAGTTATTCCCCAAGGCTTTTCCCTATTGATTGTCTTCATGTTACTTTGGAAGCATGTTAACAGGCTTGTTAACATCAGATTCAAATTCACGCGCATTTTTTGATCCTTTAAAAAGAAAGAAGTATCCTCTAAAACAGAGAAGTGTTTGTCTGGAATAGATGCAACTGCACTTGTCCTGAAATGCCTGTACCTGTTTCTGAAGTTTGGATAGCATAACTCCAAAGAACACAATAGTTACAAATAAACAAGAAA